AAACCCCAAAACCCCGTAATGAATGATTGCTTAAATTTTAAGGTTTAGATGAATTAGATAATATATTCCATATTGTAAAATTCTACATATTTCAAAGATCGCTGCATATTTTCATCACTTAGCCTGCTTCTTAAGAGACATGTATATCTTTGACTTGACCCAATCTCTGCCATGAGGTATATAAGTTTTCTAAATATCATTGTACCTATAATTATTAGTTAGAATAAAATGTTAAGTATGGTAGATCTAAATAATCTCAATTAAGGAATCTCATCTGTTATTCAACTTACGTTAGGCAACTAAGATCTCTGATTGAATCTAGATAATTGATTAGATCACATAAATCATAGGTTATTGCTTAAGCATCTTGATTTACGACTTTCAATTTTTGTTCATAGATTTGGCAAATACCTATAATAATGATTATTAATAATTATGTCTAATGGCGGGAATCATCAAATTACCATCTAAAGCATCATTAATAGAATCAAAGTCCAAATAGGTTCTTGAATTTTCATCCTCTGTGAATTATAATAGCACTACCGTATGAGTTGAAGCTGTTGCTGACTATAATAAGTATTAATAAGTCAAAGTGCTCTATTTAAGTGAAAATTTTTGCTTACCATTTTGGGATTATAGTCGAATCAATCAAAATAATAATTTGAGAAATTTATAATTCTAAAATTTAGAACTATAATATACTTCAATATTTGAAATTAAATAAAACTATCAGGCAAATAATGCAAAATTTTAGCCTGAAAAAATACGAAATTGAGGAAAGGTTTTAGATATAGTAGAAGATTTATGAATCATCAACAGAGAAGCAATACATAGCAATAGATAACCAATCTAATTAAGTAATATGATATATAATTTACTAACATATCATAGAGAGTTTTGATTAGAAGATTTTATGAACTAAATGATGGAGTGCCATAGGAAGCAGTGAAATTGATTGATATGTATTCTATAATTAAAGATCATCAGGGATTCGAATAACTGATTAATATTGAAGTCAGAGAATAAGAGTTGATAATTGCTGTTGAATATCTTGAAGTAAATCTAGATATGGTTTTCAGTCAAGAAAGATATCATAAAGTCAGTGAAAATTTGGCTAAAGTCTACCTCTATCAGATTTTGAAAAGTGTCACACTTATTCATAATAAATTGATCATCCATAATTCGATTAGTCTTTCAAACCTAAAGATTACAAATAAAGGTCATTTAAAGCTGAGTGGGTTTGAGAAGTCTCAATGCCTTTAATACAAATCAAATACTATAGAAGACTCTGATGAATATTAAAGCAAATTGTTAGCTAATATAGATTTATCAGATATGTATAATCTAGCTCCTGAAATTATACTCGGCTAGGATTTCTAGACATTCGCAACAGATATGTGGGCAGTTGGTTGCGTATTCTTCAATCTGGTTTCTGGATTTCATCCTTTTAAGGAGAGCTGCATGACCACAATGCTATATAGGATTTTCAAAACCCTAGGTACTCCAAATATGAACATATTAGAATTCCCTACATTAACCCAATGCCCTTATTTTGTTAAAAATTATGACAAATTTCCCGTTTGGTAAAGTCTTGATTTCTCAGCGTTAATCCCAGATTTGGCCATTGAAGGGATTGATTTGCTAAGGAAAATGCTTGAGATTGAGCCAGAGAAAAGAATTTCCGCAATAAACGCTTTGAAGCATCCATTTTTTAATAACTTAAACGAAGAGTTGATTTTAGATTGATGTTTATTGACTTTTATAAGGTTTTAATTTATTAATAGTAATATCAGCTTAAATACTATGAAAATATACTAAATTATATATAAAGGTAAAATTTATTATAAGGACAACAAACCAATACAATTATGAGTCATTGCAAGCAGTATCAAGAGTGTTATTTATTTCTCAGTAGTATTTTGATTGTATTTATTACTGCTTCGATTGAGACTACTTTTGCTCCTACCTCATATTTTGCTCATAAAATTACTAATTATTGAGGAACTCTTGGAAGTCAATAGAGTTAGTAACGTTACTATTTTGCTTCTTCTATAGCAACATCTATTGTTGTTGCTATAGAGTCATTTATTTTTGTTTAAATATCTGTTGCTAAAGCTAGTATTATTAAGCCTGTTGATATTGAATCTATTCTTATGACATTTAATTAGAGACAGCATTTTACCTCGAGGCGCTTGTTTATTTAGAAGTTCCTTGTCTTGAACTTATTTCTAATGAGGCATCTCTGTTTGATTTCCCTTTCCTTTGCAATTATTGTTACTTTTACTGTTCGATTATTTGATTCAAAGCTCTATCTTGACTATTATTGGTGCTAGTATATTGCTTAAAGTTTTACAGTGTGGGATTACTCTAATTATTACTACTAGTGTTATTATTCAATGTGCTATTGACATTTTTCTCATAGCTATCTCTGACTTAAATATTTTTCATTGTCGAGTTATAACTATTTTAATCTTGAGATTTTTTCGAATGAAATTTAATAAAATTCTACTTTAGTAGCTACTGCTACTGCTATTGCTAATCTGTATTAGGCTAGTTTTGTATAAACTGTTATTGCTGCAATTGAGATACCTATTAGCTAATTCTCTCACTATTCATTCTTCCTAGATTATGTGGAACAGTTGGAGGTAGTCCAGTCTAGCTATTAGTGGACATTGTTGCTAGATTATTTGAACTGGTATTTTAATAAGTTTATGTATAAGAATTTGAATTCTAAGATTCTGTGCAAGGATTCATATTCACTGTAGAATCATTGATACTCATGTTTTCATAGCTCCTTTTCAATTAAATGCTGTCGTTACTGCTTCTCATGTGAGTCAGTTGATTTTGATTAGCAGTTCTGGATATATTTTCCTTATCAACATTCAGATTTTTAGGAAGATTAATAGCTATTTTGTCGTGTAGGTTTTTATTTTTTTGATGGATTTAAAACTAATTGCTATCCTAGTCATCAGGATCCTCTGTTTGAATTTAGAGATTTTGGCTATTGCCAACAGATCTGTAATGCCCTTAGGTGTTAGAGCCATCTCTGATTTATTGCTTAATTTACATTTATTGTTGTTAATACTACTACTGAAGTTATTTTTGCTTTAAAAGCATACCTTTGTTGAAAGCAAGTTTATCATTACTGCTAGTAGTACTAATATCAACTAGATTCTCCTTGCTCTGAGCATTACTACTATTTCTGTTTAGTGCACGAGTCAAAGACTTAAATTAACTTCCACTTGAATCTCTTAGTAGTCCCGATAAATTTCCATTTCTGAACTCACCACTAGCAATCTCAGGTTGGCTTCCATTGCCATGAATATTTTATTTTTATCGACTCAATGCTTAATTAATTTAGGTGGTGTCAAACATTTTCTAAGAATTTTCGGATGGTATCATCAACTTATGAATTGAATCTTCTCTTGAAAGATCATTCTGATTATTTTAAATCGTTGTCACTGAGTCTTAGAGCTCGTTGTTGTTATTACTAGGAGAAGTGAAAAAATTTCGATCCATACTTTGATTCTGATTATTGATACAAGATTCATTGCCTAAATCAGTTCCTTAAGTAGTTTTTGATGACCCACTATACTTCTTTAATCTTTGAATTTCTTAGAGTTATCTTTCAAGCTCCTCAATTTCTCTCTCTTTTTCTTTGAGTGCTTTTTCTCTTTCGTTCAATTCATCTTCCTTTTCTTTAAGCTTTTGCTACTTCTTCTTTACCTCTTCTGCTTTTCTTTGAACAGATATTTAATTTTTCTAAAGGGCTTTCTCTCTAAGTAGCATGCTGATAGCAGGTAAATTCAATAGATCTTCTACATTGGGTCTTTTCTTTGGATCAACATTCAGCATCCATCTTATAGACCTGTTCAATTCCTCTGAGTATCGAGTAGGAAGCTTATTGAACTAACCAGATTTTATCTTTAATGCCAAACTCAAAGAATTTTCAGCTTGAAACGGCGGTCTGAGAGCAGCCATTTCATAGACGATGCACCCAAGTGACCAAATATCACTCTTCTCATTATACTCACTTTCATTTATTTACTCTGGGCTCATGTAGAATGGTGTGCCCAAATAAGTATGAGCATATACTGACTAAGCATTCATAGCCTTAGCAAAGCCAAAATCACCAAGCTTTGCTTGCTACCTTTCATCAAGAAAGATGTTTGATGGCTTGAGATCTCTATGCAATATCATTTTATTATCCTGCCTTCTATGACACTCAAATAGAGCCAGTGTTATTTGCATGAATATTTTCCAAATTTATTCCTCTGGAACAAATTTGTTTCCTGCTTCGCACTGCTTGATAAGCTTTGAAAGGTCCCCTCCAGCACAGTATTCCATTATTATTATGATGGTAGTATTTTTCTTATCAATAATTTTGTCATGATAGCGGACTATATGATCGTGTTTCAATTCTCTTAAAATATTAACTTCATTTATCAGCTGCTTCTTTTCCTTATCCTTCATAATCCCATAGTTAATTTTCTTCCAGACCATCTGCTTGCCAGATTAGATGTGTCTTACTAAGCATACTTTGCCAAAGCTTCCTAAATATTATTAAATTAATAAGTGAATTACCTTGGCCAATATCTTCTTTGATTATCTCGTAATTTTCCATATTTGAATATGTAGGTAGTTCTTTATTTAAATTTAAATTTGCTTTTTACCTGATTGCTCCACATCAACGCAGCGGGGTTTTGGGGTTTTGGGGTTTTGGGGTTTTGGGGTTTTGGGGTTTTGGGG